AAAAAAAAAAAAAAAAAAAAAGAAGTTAAAATTGTATCGTTTTTTAGCCTTCTATTTGTGATCCTTAATTTTGGAAGATGAAGCTACATAAAATAAATTTGTCAAAATTATTTTGAAGATCTTGCCCACAAATAATTTGACTTCTGGCTCGACCAGAGCATTTGTTGCAGGTTTAGTACGGATAGGCCGAAGAAGAAAAATGAAATTAAAATTTGCATATGACGTCACTGCACTATTATCTACAGAAGATCCCAAGAACCTGTTAGTTACAAATCTACATTCTGCCTATGGATATTTTATCTGCATCTTCCCAACCAAAAAGGCTCGCTATTGTTTGAGATGAACTCACACAGACTCGGAACTAGGTTGAAGGTCTACCTTGATGGCTTGACCGAAAGAGAGAACCACCCCAGAAATCAGAAATCAAATGATACTCAATAGTGACCAGGCTTGCTAATGGCAGTCCTAGATCTATAAGACACAGCATATCAAAACGAGTTAATCGCATGGTCGAGAGGTGTTGAATTTTATACACAATAATAGAGAAGTGAGAGAGAAATCAACACGAGTATTTAACATGATTCGACTATATGCTTACGTTCACAAAGAGCGAATTGATGATAGTAAGATTACATTTTATTTATACTAATCTTAATTCAAACCCATATGAGAGTTTAAAATCCGTACAAGAAAATATCCCCGTACCATACGAGAGATTTGCTCATTCCTCTCTTGGCATTGGCCAATTTGATTCGGTAAATACGCGTTTCACTTTACATGAGTCGCATACAAAATAGGAGGTAATAAGGGCTAGCTTATAACTTACGGCTCTTGATTTTGATATTCCTAATTGTATCGTCTTAGGCTACCAAATTTTGAGTACGACGCTAAAGCTTTAACATTTCCTAGCTACGTGTCCATCAATTTTCAAGTTCCATTGTCACTATATTATTTTCAGAGAACAATTCAAAGATCATAACATAAAATAGAAAGGGTTACATTGTCACATGGTGCTGGGTCAACACAAGCTTGGATCTGAAAACAACACTGCTTCAATAAATATTGTCCAGGTTACCAACAGATGACAAAATATTTATCAGAATTCTGAAGAGTCAAAAGCATTCTGCATTCTGTATCATTAAGACAACACAATTTGATTGATAACCTCAGAAAAAAAAGAAAAAAAAGGGAAAGAAAATCTCAAAACTCTAGCATGTTTTGTTCATTTCAGAACTACTAAGGTTGCTCGAGGAGCATAAAACCTTACGAACCTTAAAACCACAATTTGGAACGATGGCGACAATAGAATAGATTACTGTCAAATGCTCAGTTTAACGCATTTGAATAGATATCAGCAGCCTCATAAGGTGATTTGAAAACCTGGATGTCCTGGAAGTTACTGTTTGCAGCCATGGCATAGGATTGGGGATGGGTAGACTGCTGTCCAGTCAACCAGAATTCCGATGAAGTGAGAGGCATGCCTCCTGGGCTTGAATGGTTTACATGCTGAGCCATGCCAGGGTTATTTTCATGCATAGGACGGTGTGGTGGAATTGAATCTGGACTGGATGCCCAGGAATTACTTGACAGAAGAGAGAGAGCACAACGGTAATCCGGTGCTGCATCTGTGTGGGACAAGATTGTGGGTCCCCTGAAACCCGTAAACGAAAAAATAGAAAGATCTGAACACTTGAATTGGAAAATGAGTAGCTTTATATTAACAGTTAAAGTTTTAGAATCCGCATGAAATTAGCTCATCTTTTTTACAAGAATCAAATCAACATACAAGTTTCCAAGTTACAAACCCACTAGAAAAACTTGGCTGGCTGTAGGGTTTATCCAACAGTATGAACACTTGAGCAAAAGCTAAATTGATATTCACTGCTTGGAGAATTTAGTTATCATTTTGTGTCAATGCTGCAAGGGGTGAAACAAACCTGAGTTGAAAAACTCGGAAGTGTAGTCCTTGCATGCCAAGAGGCCACCGTGAATATTGACGCCATGTGGCAGCTTAGTTCCAGGCATATGCATTTCCCCATCAATGCCTTCAGCTCTTCTAGACTTAACAGGATAGTCCCTTGTAAGTGTAAACTTGGAGGAGCATGAGCTATCCCAGGTCGAATTTTCAGTAGTTATAGGGTTAATAAGGGGAGCATTGTTCACCAGAAAATTCATCTGTTGCCTGCCATCTGATACGTGTAAAAATTACATTAGACCAAACATAATCAATGGGTCTGGCATAAAATCTCAAATGAGTGTGATGGAAACTGGAGAGGGCAGGAAAGGAGCTCAGCTGGAAAAGGAATAACTGAACCGTGAACCAGATATTTAGTCCATCAAACAATAAGCCCATGTTTGGTGGAAATTAAAATATTAAGTCAAAGTTAACAATTAAATTTATTATGGGACCCACAACTTTTCAACCACACATTTCATCAACTTCTATCAAAAGCCAGTAAAAATCTGATTTTAATATTCATCAAACAGGGGCTAAACAGAGGGATTTATAGTTTGGAAGTCAGAGGAAGTCCAGGGGCATCGATATACATGGATCCTGAATCTTCTGACCTCAGGCAAGACAAATGAAAGCACAACTAAAAAGCCAACAGTCTTAATTAAATCTTTCTCGCGGGCATCGGTCTTTAAATCTTTTGATTAATTGCTTCCAGAAATATTTTTGCTCAAATTTAGCAAGTAACCTTATTTTATGTGTGAAGTCAAATGATGACTTTAGGAAAATATAATTATGAAGAAGTTTATCATACCACAAAATGTGACAAGATAAAATAGCAGTTGCAATCTCAATACAAGAGAGTTTATTAATTGTAAGAATCAGACAATTTGAAACAAACAACTCTATACATTTATGTGCACAGATTATATCAATGATCATTGCACAGTGCTAGACTTGGCATGTTCCAATAGTAAGGTGAGCTACAGGCTGACAATCATAAAAATAAGCCGGTGTATGACATGAATAATGTACCATAGAGTTGTGACGACAGCCTTGATGAGTTAAACTCAATAGTTTGCCGTTGTGGTTTGCGACGCCGTGCATTGTGGTCTGAAAGCCTCCTTCGACAGCTACGCTTCTTTTCGTCGAATTCGGACAAACTGTGGAACCTTCATGGATAAAAAAGAAGCCACGGATATATCATGATGTACAAATTAGCAGAAAAATAACAAATGATGATGACTGTCAAGTCGTACTGGAAGTTACTACAGCTAGACTGAGGCCACAGATTTAATAAGCAAAATTACTAAAAATAAAACTGCAGGTTGTGTATATTTATCAACCAGGGTCTTTCCAATGATCATTACCTGCTACACTGTTGGCAAAACCGATGTTCAAGGCCTCCTACAATAACCCTTGGGCTCTTAGAATGGCCATCACAAACTTTATGCTTTCGATGATATTCTTTAGCTGCTGAAAGATCAATGTCACAGCCTTCTACTTGACAGTATGGAATAGGCACAATTTGACCAGATAATTTAGTTTTCTTCATTGTAGTTGTAGATGAAGTAGGCACTACAGAAGTGGTTACGCTCTTAACATGGCTCCCAGCACTGCTGTTCTCAAAGTAAGTCTGCTTTCTGAGTTTCAAACTAATCCATGGCTCACCAGAGCCAACAGAACCCTCCAGAGGTGGAGAAGTTCCAGACACCTCAGATCGGGACATTTCCATTTTCTTGATAAAATTTGCAGATCCCTCAAATGCCTCAAACTCAGAACCTAGCAGTTTCATCCCATCCTTCAGGGAGGAGTCGGTAGAAGCCGAAATCGTGCTTTTAGTTGAAGAACCACGCCCAGCATAAGAGCCAGATGTACTGCAATTCCCACCATCCGTCGACAAATTAAAGGAGCCAACATCAATTTCCCCATCATCTCCAATCATCCAGTCTGCCGACTGCATCTTTCTCAGACTTCCACTCGTTTTTGAATTGAACGTTGTAATGGTTTCCAAGTCCCACTTTGAATCGAACTCCATCTAAAAAAGGTAACTCCTTAAGCAGGGTCACTCAATTTTCCTCTTACATGAAACGCTTAAGAAACTGGGAACTGGTCCTGCAACCAATAACATTATGACCGCTCATAATGTGCTCAAACGAAATGAAGTTTATAGTGTAATTTCACATAAAATCGCATTAAAAATATGGGAAGAAAAAATTAGAACCATCCATAACACCAAGAGTAGACATACACTAAGTTTTGAGCAAATAAAGAATGAATTTTAACTATGATTATCACCCACGGAGTGGCTCTGAGTACGTCCCCAGCATTTCAGAAATTTGATGAATCCACAAAGAGGAAAATTAATTATTATCCAATTAACAGAAAGTAAAAACTCAACCCAAATTCCACAATTCGAGGTAGTACCAGAAATTTGAAGAAACTGCAAAGAGGAAAATCAATTATTATCCAATTAACTAAGAGTAAATACTCAAGCAAAATGAAACAATAAAGGGTACAATTCTTAAACATCTGAAAGCAAACAACTATACTCATGCTTCACCCCAAATAATCCAAAGACTTTCACAGTACCGTCTTCAGATAGTCTCATTAAAAATAGAACACAACGAACCTTTTAACCTTGGAAGTAAGCACAACTAAACAGCAAAAGGGTACAAGTCTAAACATCTGAAAGCAAAACAACTAACTCATTCTTTACTGCTACCAATCCCAAAGTTTTCATAGTACAGATCCTTAGAGCCTCGTCAATAATTCATATGTGCAACAATTTTCCAGCCATGACTTCAAAGCAGCTTGCCACACAGAATCTTCACCATCAATAAATAGACAGAAAATAAATAATAACAGCTTTACTTTGGTAAGCATTTTATACCAAATCAATCATTAAAGCCTTAGCATTCTACAAAAGGAGAAAGGTGAAAAAATGTTCCCTAACCTCCTACAACAACTCTTTGACTTTTCACCTGCCCACTTTAGTGCAAAAATTTCCAGAACAAGAGAAGATAAAGATTTACAATTTATTATTTACTCCTCTCCTATCATATAATAGTTTTTAATCCCATAAAGTAGCTACTGAAAGCTCAATTCAACACTTTTACCTCTTGGCTAACTGTTTCTTCGCCTTTTCCCTAACTTTGATTAATCGAAATCTTCCACCTGCTCACTTCCAATAGCAAACTATTAAAATCTGAGGGTGAATGACTAAGAGACCCACTAATAGAACCCTTCGAAAAATGTACAAAAGAAATTCATACCTTGATCTTAAATCTTATATAAGTAAGTATAAAAAAATTCAAAGTCAGAAGACATTTTTCACCTAACAACGAAAAAAGAAAAAAATAATCATTAAACTGAACTCACTACACATCCTTATGGGAAAATAATCAGTATAAAAATAAAATTATATATATATAAAATATTACCATTGGCTTGTCTAGAAAGAAAGTAATCTGACTGACTAATACTGGTTATGGTGCGCAACAAATACTATTTTTATGCCAGAAAACTCATGGTGGTTGATGGAGCAAGTTATGGTCCCCCATCAAGGGTTTTTGTCGGATCAGCAACCGAAAGCAGACTGCAAGTAAAAGTTTTCCATTAACAAAATGACTTTGCACGTCGTCTTTACAGTTCTCAACGACGTGGAAACACCAAAAAATTAAAACAAAAGTAAAGCAAGAAAGGGAGACAAAAAAGACGTGAAGAAAAAGCATTTTTTTTACCATTTCCAATACAGAAATTTTTCAATTCTTTATACAGATTTGGAAAGTTTCAGCAAATAATGTACGACTCTGTTGACGAAAATCCTTCGCTGCTTCTCCAAAAATGTAAATTAATAACTCAACTACTTTTTCCTGAACTTCATTTATTAATTCGCAACGGAACATCATTTCTCCTCATTCTAGCAGCAAAAAGAATTGGTTTGAGATAATCAATTAAAAATAGAAAGGGTGGAAAAATGAAAAGGAAAATGAAATTTTACCTGACAATGAAGGAAAGGGGGAGTAAAACTTACCGAGTAAAGCAAAAGAGTCTGTGGCGAAAGGAAAGTGAAATGGCGCAGGGAATTTATTTTACCTAATGAAGAAAGAGAGAAAAACTTTTAGGGGTAAAAGGATAAATAATAAAAAAATTCACTATTGGCTCTTAATTTATCACCTTTATAGCAATTTGGTCATTAAATTTTCATTATGAGTTCCACAATTGACTCCAAACAGCTAAAACTGTCTAGATCTATATAAATCACCTTATGTTACTCATATATTCAACTTTATAAATGCAAAGATAATTTGTATTCTCAACTTGGAGAGACATTTAAACTTTTAAGGTAAAACGTATTTTTATGAAAACTACGTGACAATTTAATGAAAATTTAGATAAATTTGTTGTAGCTAATTTATAATATTCAAAGTTTGCATCAATATGGAAACTTGGTATCGAAACATATCCTGTTTGAGTGTCATTTTTTGGTCAAAATGCATTTTGAAACAGTATTTTATTTGGGATTGTATGGTTAAAAAATAAGATAAAACTTTTGGTTTGCTTGTAAAATTGTTTTATGAAAGAAATATATAATCGAAAATGAATTTTTAGAAAAATGAGGGCCAAACATAGGCATAATTTCACTTTCAAACGTTTAGTTAACTATAATGTCTCAACGCATTTCAAGGAGAACCAATTGACCATAGGTTCGAGCAGTATTTCACACCTTTATCTGCTCGCTCTTCATTGTTAGTCGTGCAGCAATATGAAATGTTGAGATTATCTTGCTCTTTTTTAGAGTTTGAGATTAATATGTTATTGGGAGAATAGGTTGGGATCAATGTTGCAATTTTCCTAAAACAATAATAATGTGAGCTGATTTTTCAATGAGGTGGTAATCAGCTGGTGAGGGTCCACGGAAATTGTGATGGGGCGACGGTCAGGGTTAGATGGATTTGCATGAGCGACACGTGAACGTTCAGATGGACTGTCGTTAAGTGACAGCTTTTTTTCTCAGGGATTTGGTTGTTCCGAAGAGCGCTGCTTCTCGCAACTGGCACTGGACAGAAAGTGGTAAGGGAGAGATGAGGAACGCAATTTACGAGTCCACATCGAGTCGACTCGGCCTCTTTTGCCCTTTTTTTTTTTTCCATTTTCATTTTATTTTATTTTTCTTTTATAATGTGTTTTTCACTTGACACCTATAAAATATAAATATACAAACAGGTTAAATAAAAATGCCGAAGATGGAATGGACTCGCTGACTCTGAAATAGTTTATACTTAGGCCTTTCTTAAGTTTGATTCGATCTTTCCATTACGTTTGAAGCAATAAAATGAGCGTTATTGGCACAACTAACTTTTTCTACTCAAGTTTTGTTCTTTCTTCTTACGTTTGGTGAACTATCTGTCCGTGTAACGATGTCGTGTCTTGATTGAACGGTATCTTTCAATGGTCGTATACGTTTTGACATCTATGAAAAGAGTAATATTATTTATAATTGTTCACTGCGGTAATCGTTTTACGTCGCATCTCACGTGGCTGTTTGTGACTCAATGTATTGACGTGGTAATTTTTTTATTGTCTTATATATTAAATTACTAATCGTCACATGTATGTCACGTAGAACGATTGCGATAGTTAGTGATTGCAAATTATTAAAAGAATGTAATCAAAATTAATACAATATGAATTGACTGAGGTAGAAAAAAGTCAAAATAATCATGGTAAAATAATTGCAATTAAAACTAACTTTACGATGAACGCCACAACTCACCTAATGTGTGGGCACAATCCCAGCTAAAACTCGTAGGAATGAATAATGATTTTAATGGTGCAGTTGGTGACTTCCCCACAGCCAAATCCAATCACCACTTGTGTCCTACAATGATTGTGCCACCTATAAGCACTTTTCTCTATTCGCTAAAAGATACGGATATAACGTAAAATCGAAGTATCCCTACTATATAAGAAAGGGGAATGTGAGGACACTGTAAAAAATAACAGTGTCTTGATTTATCTTTACTATAACTTTTTTTTTTTAGTTGGGAGCAAAAAACGACGTCGTTTGCTTGATATATATTTTATTTTATTCTACACTACATCCAAATTTATTGGAACACGCAATTTTCATTCCTTCCCTACTCCGATATAGATATATATAGTAGAGATATAAGAAAAAAATCATTTTTGTATAAAAAAAAAATAGAGATAATATGCGACAGAATTTTTTTTTACAACATATTACTTGTAGGTAAAAAATTTGAAGAGAAAAGAATTAAAGAGAATTTTACATTGAAAAAAATAATAAAATAAAAAAGTAATCTCTCCTTGCACGGAGCAAAAGCCTCCGTGTACGGAGACTACATTAGTCTCCATGCACAGAGGAAAGGAGAAAAAAAAAATGGAAGGCTACGTGCACGGAGACTATGAATAATTTGTTTTTTTTTTTACTTATGTTTTTGTGTTGATTTTCAGACTCATTACGGAATATCAAATAAAATCGAAATATTACATTCTTAATATCGTTTTGAAGTACTCGCGGCATAGTATTGCACATCATTAACGGTGCGTGAAATGGTCAATCGTAGCAAATGTTATGAGACGTCAAAGTAGGCATTTTCAAACTATATTTCGAAATTTTCAATAACAAGCTAATTTTAAAAATTTATCGACAATTGTACGATAGTCGAATTGATAAATATTTTACATTCTCTCGAAACTCATTTTAAAAACGATATCGTAGAAATATCGAATGATCTAAATAGATATCAAAAATAGTTAAACGGACATTAAACGTATGTGTTAAAAAATACGCATAAGTCATTTTTTTCTTAAAAAAATCAATTATTTTATTACTATTTCAAAATTTTTGATAAAAAGTTAACTTTAAAAATTCGTCGACGATTGTACGATAGTCGACTCGATAAATATTTTACATTCTCTCGAAACTCATTTTCAGAACTATATCGTAGATATATCAGATGATCTAAATAAATATCGAAAATAGTTAAACGGAGATTAAACGTATGTGTTAAAAATACGTATACGTCATTTTTTAAAAAAATTAATTATTTTATTGCTATTTATTCTTTTTTCGCAACAATTTTCTTAATGCATCATTTTGCTCAAAAAAATTATATGGTATGACGAAAAAAAATTTCTCCATGCACGGAGTGAATATGTTTTTTTTCATCATTTTATATATTGAATTATTATTAGAAAATTAAATTTTATCTCAAACTATTAAAAAATACTGATTAATAATAAAAATTTTGAAGAAAAAAATTAAAAAGAATTCTAAATTGAAAAAACTATTATTTATAACGTAAAACTACACAAAAAAATTCTCAAATCTAAGTTTCTGTTTGGAATTATTAAGAGAAAAGAATTATAAATTGAAAAAAAAAATTATAATGTGAACAACAAAAATTAAAATTCTTTTTAATTCTTTTTTCTTCAAATTTTTTACTTAAAAATAACTTTTTGTAAAATATATTTTTATTTTTTTTATATAAAAGATATTTTTTTTCTTATATTCCTACTATATATATTTATATAAGAGTGATTGAGCATGGAGTTGTGGGAGGTATGGAAATTACGTGTTGCAGCAGTTTCTTACAATATAATAAAATATTTTAAAGTAAATTTTTTTGTATATATTTATTACTATAAAATTAAATATTATCTGAAATTATTATATATATCATTGTAGTTAGTTTATATAGTATAAAGAGGTATTAGTTTTTATTTAAAAAAAAAAAATAAGAGGCCTCTGTACACTGAGGCCCAAGGACTCCGTGCACGGAGACCTGGAGAAATCAATTTTTTTTTTTACTTATGTTTTTGTGTTCATTTTCAGACTCATTACGGGATATCAAACGAAGTCGAAATATTACATTCTTAATATCGTTTTGAAGTGCTCGCGGCATAGTATTGCACGTCGTTAACGGTGCGTGAAACGATCAATAGCAAATGTTATCAGACGTCAAAGTAGGCATTTTCAAACTATATTTCGAAATTTTCGATAACAAGCTAACTTTAAAAATTCATCGACGATTGTGCGATAGTCGAATCGATAAATGTTTTATATTCTCTCGAAACTCATTTTGAGAACTATATCGTAGAGATATCGAATGATCTAAATAGATATAAAAAATAGTTAAACGGACATTAAACGTATGTGTTATACGCATATGTCGTTTTTCTTAAAAAAATCAATTATTTTATTACTATTTCAAAATTTCCGATAACAAGCTAACTTTAAAAATTCGTCAACGATTTTACAATAGTCAAATCGGTAAATTTTTTACATTTTCTCGAAACTCATTTTGAGAACTATATCGTAGAGACATCAAATGATGTAAATAAATAACGAAAATAGTTAAATAGAGATTAAACGTATGTGTTAAAAATGCGTTTTTTTCTTTAAAAAAATCAATTATTTTTTTCTTTTTAATTCTTTTCTCTTCCAAATAAAACTTAATTTTTCAGTTTTAACGAAAAAGTTATTTGTAGGTCAAAAAAATTGAAGAAAAAAAATTAAAAAAATTATATATAGTGTGATCTCCGTGCACGAAGGATTATTTAAATTTTTTTTTTTTTACTTTTCCGTTCTCCATTTTCATAAGTTATGACCACGCCTTTTCAAATCAACTCATTTGCTTATATTATTATATTATATATATAGTGTAAGAGAAGTAATGTGAATTTATGTAACACGCAACTTTCCATACCTCCCGCCTTACTCCGTGCTGACCACTTTTATAAGGTAAAAAAAAAATCACTTTTAGTAAAAAAATTAAAAATAAACATATTAACAAAAAATATTTCTAATATATGTAAAAATTACTTATATAAGTAAAAAAAATCATTTAAAATTATTTAGAAGTAAAAAATAAAATAAAGTTATGAAAATT